TGTGTATGGTTTTAGAATGCACGGATCTCAATGGAAACAATCACCCAATAAACTCGAGGTGGCGGACTGACAACTGTGAGAGATGTGGTTGTGGCGAAAAACGAATTTCATGTTGCTCTCTGTAAGTCTCATCAGAATCTGTTGGGGAAGGGCTAGGAATCTGAATTTTAGCAGGTGTCTTGAGAGTCTCATGAGGACACCGTGAGTAGAGAAGCAAGCACTTGACTTAGATGAGAACACCTGAGTCCTACTGAATTTGAAGTGTCTGGAGAGTTCCAGCCACATTTATTGAGCAGGACCTATGCTAGGTGCCTAATGGAACAAGAGGAATTGGACTGGGAGTTGGCTGGCTGCTCAGAGCAGACTCCCAGGCATCACATTGGTCAGGCCACTGGGTTTTATAGCTAAGCTTTGATTTTGTGGCTCCAGAGACTTGACATTGTCTTTATAGCAAGCGTTGATGTGACTCTGGTGGAGTGTGATTGTATCACAGCGAGGTGAAGCACTGGTGACTGGTCCCTTCCTAAGATAGGAGCACGGCTCCCTGGTGGCTAAGGCATCCATGTCACCCAGATTTGGCATCCCTGACCTCTTCTAGGATTTTCCACTGTAGGCTTGGATTCTTGTGGGCCTGGTGCGGAAAAGGGCCAGGCTGCTCCTTGCAGGGAACAGGGAAGAACCTCGATATTGGAGTCAGAGTAACTTGAGTCTGAATCTTCATTCCCTTGTGTACTAGCTGTGTGACCCTAAGTTTCTGAATGTCTCTGAGCCTCTGTTTCACAGTATAATCAGGGATAATTAGGTGGCTATGAGAATTAAATGAGATATTGCATATACATTCTTTAACCCAACAAACACTTAAAGCCTTCTCTGTGCCAATTCCGTGTCCTGCAAGCCTGGGGCAGTAACCGACACCTGGTCAGGTTTAGGGTGCCCTTTCCTTTCTCCCACCATGTTCCCTGTTCCACTTAGCACACTGCTGCACACGGGGGAAATGAACCACCCCTTCTTCCCTGGAATTGCCTCACTTCCTACCAAGTTTGTTTTTCTCATGAACTTTTTTCTCCTCCGTGGAAAAATACAGACTTTGATTAGCTTTTTCTGGAAGCAGTTTTTGGACCCACTGCACCCTCTACGGGACACTGCCCAGATCTCAAGGTGCTCGGTGGCAGTGGAGCCTGAGGCTGGGGGCCCAGGCAGAGGCTCCCTGGCAGGGCGTAGGAGATGTCCTGGCCTCCACGCTGCCCGGGCTTAGCCCAGGGTTGGCTCCCTGACTTGGGTGAGGAAAAGGGAGTGGAAGACAAAAGGCCAAGGCCATCCGACCACTGGCTCTGGACAGCTGCACACCTGATGTTGACAGTTTCTCCTCCCCCTCTCTCTCTGCTGCTTCACCTACAGAGCTAAGTCTGGTTTAAACTAAAATAAGCATCCAGTAATATGCCCTTTGCCTTACCAGCTTGTACTTGTACACAGGCAGCAGTGATTCACCATTTCACTTCCTACCATGAATAAAAGAATTTCATCTCTTTGGCCAGCCATGGTGGCTCACACCTGTAATCCCAGCACTTTGGGAGGCTGAGCTGGGTGAATGACCTGAGGTCAGGATTCCAAACCTGCCTGACCAACATGGAGAAACCATGTCTCTACTAAAAATACAAAATTGGTCAGGCATGGTGGCACATGACTATAAACCCAGCTACTCAGGAGGCTGAGGCAGGAGAATCACTTGAACCCGGAAGGTGGAGACTGCAGTGAGCCCAGATTGCACCATTGCACTACAGCCTGGGCAGCAAGAGCGAAACTCTGTCTCAAAAAAGAAAAAAAAAAAAGAAAAGAAAGGAAAGAAAAGAAAGAATTGTATCTCTTCAACAAACACCACTTTATTTTTAACTTTTATTAATTGTGGTAAAATGTATACTACATAAAATGTGCCAGTTTAACCATTTTTAAACATAGAATTCAGTGGCATTAAATATATTCACAGTATTGTGCAACCATAAACCCTACTTGCAAAACTTTTTAATGAGTCCAACTTGAAGCTATATCCAGTAAACAGTAACTTAGAGACCCCCTTCCACAAAACCCCTGGTAACCTCAAATCTACTTTCTATCTCTGTGAATTTGCCTAGTCTAGATATTTCATATAAATAGAATCACATCGTGTTTGTCTTTTTGTGTCTGGCCTACTTCACTCAGCATGTTGTCAAGATTCATATATGTTGTAGGAAGTTATCAGTACTTGCTTCCTGTTTCTGCCAGAATAATATTCCATGGCATGGCTAGACCACATTTTGCTTATCCATTTATTTGTTGATGAACACTTGAGTTGCTTCCACCTGTTGGCTAAAGTAAGTAATGTTGTTCTGAACATTGTCAATATACAAACATTGGCATATAACGTTTGAGTCTCTGCTTTGAATTCTTTTGGGATATGCCTAGGAGTAGCTTGCTGGGTCATATGGTAATTTTTTGTTGAACTTATGGAGGATCTGCCAAGCTGTTTTCCACAGCAGCTGCACCATTTTGCATTCCTACCAGCCAACAATCACATTTAAACATGTAAGGTTTTAAATATTTCCCCCAATTTTCTAAGTAAAATATATGAATTATAGAACCATTGGAAAGTATAAGAGAGAAAAGAAGAAAAACCTACTCACAATCCTGACTGCTTAAAGGTAATAACTGTTAACATTCTATCATATTTATTTATTTGTATTAAAAAATTGAGACAGGGTCTCACTATGTTGCCAGGCTGGTCTCAAACCCCTGGGCTCAAACTGTCCTCTCACCTCAGCCTCCTGAGTAGCTGGGATTACATGTATGTGCCACCATGCCTGGGCTTCTATCATAATTTCTTTATGACTCTTTTCTACATTTCTTTTCTTGCACATAGTGAATATCAAATTTTATATCACAACTCTGTGGGCTGATTTTTTCACTTAATGTTCTAGCATTGGGCTAGGCATGGTGGCTCACACCTGTAATACTAGCACTTCGGGAGGTCAAGGAGAGGGTGGATCATTTGAGGTCAGGAGTTCAAGACCAGCCTGGCCAACATGGTGAGACCCCCATCTCTACTAAAAATGTAAAAATTACCTGGGCGTAGTGACACGTGCCTGTAATCCCAGCTACTCAGGAGGCTGAAGCAGGAGAATCACTTAAACCTGGGAGACAGAGGCTGCAGTGAGCTGGGATCGCATAAATAAATATTCTAGAAGTAGTACCATCTCATCTCATCAGAACTCTTCAAAAATATTTGTATGTATTGCAGCTCAATTAAAGGTGGTCTCTGATTTTTAACAGCTTCTCCCGGGGCTCCATGACACTGGCCTGGAGTGACTCTTTGCTCCGGTTAGTTGAGAGAGCTCCTTTGCCAACAGGCCTCCAAGCCAGGGCTGGGCCAACTGTTCCCTTTCCACATTCTAGCAACAATATGCTGGCCACTTCCTGAACAGGGAGGGTCGGAGGAGCCAGCCTGGAACAAGCTGCCCAGCTCCAGAGTAGCCAGACTTGCCCCTGCCTGTCAGCACCTACCGCTGACCTGTGCCTGCAGGATGGAATGCAGGGGTGGGCTGTGTGGCTCCATGGTACAAACTGGTCCATGTTCTTGAAGGCCACACTCTGGGGCTGCCAGCCAAAGGGTGCCTTTAAGTTGGTTAAGTCACCCCAGCCAGCTGGAGCATGGGTGGCTTCCTGAGCAGAGCTGGGACTTGTGCGGGGGCGGGCGGGGTGCTGTGGGTCCTTTCTCTTCTAACAGGCTCTGGTTTTGTCTCAATGACAGTGTTGTTATACCTGTGAGTTATGACAGAGAGAAGTGCCAGAAAATCTTTAAGAAGGAGAGCTGCAAGTATACTGTGGTGGAGAAGAAGGACCCAAATAAGACCTGTGATGTCAGTGGATGGATATTGTAACATGCGTCTTGTAGGCACAGGGCTCCCAGGCCAGGCCTCGTTCTCTGGCCTCTAATAGTCTATGATGGTGTAGCCCTGCCTATCAGTAAAAGATTTTTGAGCAAACACTTGAATATGTGTGTACTTTTAATTTATAACTTAAGTATGCATTAATTTAATACACATTATAAAGCATACAAAACATTTTAAAAGGGAGACAAAAATACATATGAATAAAAGTTCTATTTTTCCTAAACTCTGTAACAGGTCACTGTGCAACCCTTACTCGGGGGACCGCTGCCACTCTTGCTGTTTGTGATGTCTGCACTCTGCTGCCCACGTCCTGCTGGATGGTAAACGATAAAAAAAATATGTGCCTTCAAGCTGAAATTAGATCCCTTCTTTTCTTTAAGGTGTTCCTGTTTATCCCTCCTTCCTCTTCATCAGGAAGTGTCTTCTATGATGTGTCCCCCACATTCCTCTGTGTTTGCCTGAGCTGAAAGCAGGTTAGAACAAGACAGCCTGAATAAGTGCCCCCAAGGCCACATGCAGGCCGAGGGGAATCCAAGGCCAGGGCTCTGCCTTGCTGATGGAGAGTGGCCTGGGAGCAAGGCCTCAGCATCAGTTATCTCTGGCTCTGCACAGAGCACCCAAAACTTAATGGCTTAAAACAATGACAACATAGATTCTCTTTTGACCGTTTCTGTGATAGAGAACATTTGTTCACTCAGCAGGTCTGTACTGAGCACTTGGGCCCAGCAGTGCACTGGACCTGGGGGTACCGCAGTGAACCAGAGAGATCTCAGGAGAGAGCCCTGCTCTCCTGGGTCTTGGAGTCAGCTGTGTGTTCGTGACAGATCAGAAATGGGCAAACAGTCATCTGTTGAACAATCAGTGGGCAACTGATAAACAGCTTTATTTTCCCTTGTCCCCCATCTGTTTAAACATGCTATGTGGGCCAGCTGAGCAATCTAGACAGGTCCCTTAGCTTTGTTGGTCACCTTCAGATAATTTAAAACAGTGGTCTCAGTTACATTTTGAGTTATATGAAGTTTCATTCAAGGGGCTGCATCTGAACTGAGAGGGAATGGGGCACAGGAGCGTTAAGGGCTCCTTCTGCCTGTGGTCATGTTCTAGGCTGACTTCCTCTGAGACTTTTGTGGGCCTCTCTCTCCACAGCTTCCCTTCCACTCACAGCCTATGATTGTTGTCTTAGCTTCTGCATCAGAATCTACTTTCCTGTTGTTTTG